CATATACATATATATACACATATACATATATACATATATATATATATTTATACGTATATATATTTATATATATATGTATATATGTTTAAGTATATATATATATATATATGTGTTTATGTATATATATGTGTATGTATATATATGTGTGTTTATGTATATATATGTGTATATGTGTATATATGTGTATATATATGCATGTACATGTGTATATATGTATGTATATGTGTATACATGTATGTATATGTGTATACATGTATGTATATGTGTATATATGTATGTATATATGTATATATGTATGTAATATATGTGTATATATGTATTTACAAACCGGATTAAACAATTTGTGAATAAAAACTGAATGCAATGATGTGGAGGTGCCAACATCTAATATTTTATTCAGAATAGAACACAAACCACAGATCAAAAGTTTAAACTGAGAGAATGTATCATTTTAAGGGAAAAATCTGTTGTTTCCAAATTTCATGGCATCAACAAATCCCATAAAAGTTGGGACAAGTCCATTTTTACCACTGTGTGGCATCTCCCCTTCTTCTTACAACACTCAACAGACGTCTGGGGACAGAGGAGACCAGTTTCTCCAGTTTAGAAATAGGAATGCTCTCCCACTCATGTCTAATACAGGCCTCTAACTGTTCAATCGTCTTGGGCCTTCTTTGTGGCACTTTCCTCTTTATGATGCGCCAAATGTTCTCTATAGGTGAAAGATCTGGACTGCAGGCTGGCCATTTCAGTACCCGGATCCTTCTCCTACGTAGCCATGATGTTGTGATTGCTGCAGAATGTGGTCTGGCATTATCGTGTTGAAAAATGCAGGGTCTTCCCTGAAAGAGATGACGTCTAGATGGGAGCATATGTTGTTCTAGAACCTGAACATAGTTCTCTGCATTAATGGTGCCTTTCCAGACATGCAAGCTGCCCATGTCACAAGCGCTCATGCAACCCCATACCATCAGTGATGCAGGCTTCTGAATGGAGCGTTGATAACAACTTGGGCTATCCTTGTCCTCTCTGGTCTGGATGACATGGCGTCCCAGTGTTCCATAAAGAACTTCAAATCGGGACTCATCTGACCACAGAACAGTCTTCCATTTTGCCACACTCCATTTTAAATGACCCCTGGCCCAGTGCAAACGTCTGAGCTTGTGGAGCTTGCTGAGAAATGGTTTCCTCTTTGCACTGTAGAGTTTCAGCTGGCAACGGCGGATGGCACGGTGGATTGTGTTCACTGACAATGCTTTCTGGAAGTGTAATGAACATATATCTGTTGATATTATTCATAAATTAAACAGATTCTTTCATTTTTCTGGACTGAGTAATATCGTGCATTGAATGATTAAATGTGACGTGAGACGTTAATTTTCTTTGACCCATCAAAATGAACGTGGTCATTTATTAACAGAATCAAAATTTAACATCAAACATTTACATTAATTTGGCAAAATTGATTACAATAACAGCTTAATTAATTAGCTTTACAATTAGAAACCATACGGCCATGGTTTCCACTTGCAGCTTTTAACCCAACAGACATTTCTGAAAATATCTGGATGATTACTGGCAGATAGAAGAGTTTTAAAGATGGGAAAATGAAGTTTAAATGGAGAGAGATGGGTGAGGGAATTTGTCTGTTATAACCAGAACAACACGCTCCTTTGGACCCAGCTTAACCCACGGTACACTTCACAGTTGAAGATCGACTCTTTACCTTGCAGA